AACCGGGTGTATACGCGGAATACCCGGGTACGTTTATCAATGCCCTTCATAAATACTTGAAATATCACCTCTGTTATTTCCCCCTTGCAGGACTGCCACCCATCCCAAAAGGAGTTCTCACAACATATGAAAGTGGGCTGCCGTTTCTGGACAAAAGTTTTACTTGGAGCCACAGGAAGCAATGCTTGATCAATTGAAAGTAAGAAACTATGGTGGCCCTTATTGAAATATCACATTCATTCCCTTTCTTATTCATATTTATCATTCATTTTTCAATATAAAATTCAATTTGATACATGATAAATGGACAACCAAAGGAACCACTTTGGATTTATTGGTGCATTGGTTTCTTTTATTGAAAATAATTGGAACTTCAAAGTGCTCCACCTTGGTCTGAAGTTAGTTTCCTGGCATCACAATGGTAGCTTGCTTTCAGAACCCATTGTCAATATCTTGAACATGCATCAATTTCAAAATGAGATAAGTTTTTCATCGACATCTTTCTTATAAAAATAACTAATTTAGCCTTTTGTATATACATTCTTTGTCAAACTAGAGAATATCATTACTATCAATATAATCATCAGATTCCTCTGCATCCTCCAAGATAAATACAAATTCTTCTCCTTGCTTGCCTTTTCATCTTCATTTTCCCCTTTTCTTCTTTCCATTAATGTGTGTGAGGAGGGGAAATTTCTCACAAAAGGTTTCTTGAATTTGGGTGGAGGAGGAGCTTCCATACCTAATTTTTTGAATACAGAATTAACTAACAAAGCTATCCTATGGAAAAAACACTTTAACATGCATTTTTTGTTGGCTCCATTCAAGATCCATTTTTCCTTCCAGATTGTGCAATTTATCATTCATTTTTTTTATCCATCATATTGCTACTAATACTGCTGACATGGTTGAAGAGGATGAAAAAGTTGAGGAATCAAATGATGATCTGTTTCAAACATCTTCTAAGAAAAAAGCAAGTCCTACAAACCAAAACAAATCTGATGAGTTGAACAAGATGAAAAAAGTAGTTTTTTTTCCCTTACATTCACCAGACCAAAAGTGGAGGAAATGTGCACACATTTCCTTGCTAGGTAAAAAGTGGTCCCATTGTACCTAACAAGGCAATGTGTACATGTTGAATTTGTATTTTGCCTGGTGATTGTTCCAATTGTGAGCTGTTACAGTTTGGCTTTTTTATCAAATAAATCATTAGCTCTAGGGCATGGAGACAAAATATTTACTAGGGAAGAATTTGAGATTTCAGATCACTTGATATGAGATTTGGTTGAACATTAATTATCAAAGACTGGATTGTGCATAAAAAGCAATGACCCTTAATTATTTAAAATACTTATTGGAATCCATCTAAAAACAGGTGATCAATTCAATTCTCTGTGATGAGTACAATAAATATTGAGACCAGATTGCACAAGCAAGCCCTAAAGACAACCTCAACAATTTAGACAACTAAGAGATACAATTTACTTCCAAAGAGTGGATGGAGATCAATGAATTTAATGAAGATCTTGAAGTTAGATTCTTTTTCTTTTCAACTGGTTTCAAAATGCTGTATTATGTTGCAGCCTTGCAATATTATCGCAAAATAATGGAGGGGGATGGTCCTACCAGAGCTTTTGTCCTGCCAAATTACTATTAAAAAAATTCAGACTTGAAAGCAAAGGAATGATTTTTAGAAAGAGGAGCTGCACTTCACCCAATGTATCACAAGATGATTGAAAAGCTTGGGGCCTACCAGCAAGAGGTTCTGGAGTGTGAGACACTGGTAATGGCAACTCTTCTTCATCCTACTTTCTAATTGGAATCGATTACCCATTGTGGGCCTGTAAAATCAAAAGAGAAAGCTTTGTTGGAGCAACACTTCAAGAAGCGTGATGATATTGTAAACCTCTATGATACTAAGCAAGTTTTTGCAGGCAATTAGTTGTGCTCTGAGTGATGGAATAATTTTTTGGAGGAAGGTGTAATTTCTTTTCCTGTCAGGACAATTAAGAAAGGATAATAGCTTCAGTAAAACCTTTAAGCTCTTCTCAACATAAAAAAGGGAAGGGAATCCAGTGGATTCTTCCTGCTGATAACAGACATGGAATCTTTTGAGGGCTTTAAGTTATATCACTTAATTTTGAGGAGTCTCACACCTCTTATAACTACTGGGACAGTGTTACAGGAGAGCTCAAGACTTGTAACATTCACTATAGAATATGTTGAGTAGACAATGAAATTTTGAATGATGGTAGATATATAATATCTAGTGGCAAGAATACTGAGAGAGGCTACTGTTTTGGTCTGGGGGGACAATCCAAGAAATAAAATGTCTTATGTGTTGGAGATGGCCTGAGAATTTCTCAAGGGAGAACCAGAGGGACTTCTGAGGAGTTATTAACATTCTCAGGGGTTCTCAATAGCACCATGAGGTGTAATCAGAGTACTATAGGCCATTTAGAGTTCCTTATGGCTGCTTGAGGTATTTCTGAGGAATTTCTTAGAATAATAGTGCTAATAGTGCTAGAAGAGCCATGTGCTTTGTCATGTGTATGGTCTGCATGAATAATTTATTGTAATAAGCACGTGTGATTTTTAACACATATGGGCCATACAGATTTGCAACCTCTGCCTCTGAAGCCCCATGAAACAGGCCATTGCGTGTAGTTTTGTGGATGTAACAACAGGTTTATAACTGAGTTACAATATTGTAAGAAGGGAGTTAATAATGAGTAATTCCTAGTTAAGAGCAATGTTTCTATCAAGGCTACAAGAATCTGAATTTTAAGATTGAACGCCTAAATGAAAGCTGACAAACTGAACCAGAAGATATTAGCTTCAAGGAAACAGATGATAAAGAAGGAAGAAAACATAATATGAAATAACCAACAATTAGATGCAAATAGACCTGAAAAATAAGATGAGGAAGGACAGTGAGATGGACAAGAAGACAGGACTGAGGAAGGCAAGCTAGTTTGAGGCGTAATTGTGAGCCACCTTGATGCCAGGAACAGTATTCCTCTAGCTAAAAGGGCCAAAGAAATTTGTAGAAAAATAATAAAAGATATTATTTTGAGTTTTAGAATTTTCTTATAGGTTTTAGAGAGGTTTTGGGTATTTTTATAATAAGAACAGCTTCAAAAATAGACTAAAAGTAGGAAAACACAGAGGGGCCTGCAAGCAGAGGTGTTTAAGGTGCCCTCTAATAAAACTGGAAATTTATAATTAAAAAGGTTCTGCGTATTATGTTTACATTATAGCTAATGATTAATATATTATTTCTGTTGTTCTTTTAGAGACTTTGAAAATGAAGATGTGTCTGGTGGGACTCAAACCCACAAACTCAGCAATGCTGAGACACATACTAGATTGTGTCCTTTACCAAATAGGCTACAGACACTTTTGGTGGCCAGTTCATGGTTCAACTGAGGTTATAAATCATGGTAGCACAATACCTTGTACCTCAACACTTCCTAAATAAAAGAATTGTGGATAATTTATATGGTAATTTGTGTATTGTAAATACTTCAAAATTTGCAGGTATGATGATATTACCTTAGTGGTTAAAAGATATCTTGAAGAAAAAGGAAAACAACAACAAGCTCTTGGAGAAAGAAAAACCTACCAATGTCAAACCAGACAAACTTTTTGAATTATTTGATGCTCCTGAAAACTATGAAAAAACCAAAGAGCTAGAGGTATGTATCAAAAATATGGATTGAGTCCCAGGACCTGGTGCAAAGGATCCCAAAGTATCTTGACATGGTGGAATGGAAGGCATGTTATTTAATGAATAAATCTGCTTAAGTGTTTGATCTTATACTTCATGTTCAACTTTTTTTTCTTTTCCAGGATCATTCATCAACCATCCTGTCCTTGCATTTTTGGCAAAACAATTCTGAGAATCCTCAGAAGCATCTTGTGCAGTGGAATGTAATTTTTATTCAGCCGCTGATGTCTGTTACAGTGGTTGTGGAAGGTTAAAAACAATAATGATTGGAAAATGTGTTGGTAGCAAATTTTGACTGAAAGAAGGGAAACAAACACCTGGGACATTTTATAAATTCCAAAAAATTGTAAAAACTTATACTGAATTTGACAAAATGTCAGAATTCAGGACTTTCTCCGCTCAAATTTCTCTTTAGTCCTACTCAAGCATCACACATTAAAATAAAACCCCCTTTCATTCTTCCTCTTTCAATCAAATATTTGATTTTCATCATTCATTCCATCATTAAATAAATGCCCTATGTTCCCATTACTATTTTTAATGCCTCTTTCCATCAATAATCTGTTGATTCCATGTCCCTGTCCTTTCATTTTTTATATTACTACTATTTTAGTATAACTGAAATTGACATATGCGCTAAATGTTAGTGTAGGTAACAATTTTGTTGAAATTTGGCAACACTCTCTGTGAAAGCTTGATGAAAATTCTCAGAATTTTGAAGAATCTTATTTATCCTTTTTTTCAACCTTATTAATTCTTCATTCTCCTTTTTCACTCCACTTGAATTGACCTCCAAAAAAAACTCACTCACTGACCCGGAATCACTCAACAAAAACATCTACTATCAATCCTCAATCATCAATCTTCAAATCCGTCTCAATCAATAAAAACACCAACATCACCTCTTATCTATTCTATTATCTATTCTTATTTCTTTATTCTCTTTCTCTATCTCAAACTATTATCAATCCTCAAGCTTCCCCATCTTAGCTTGCTTCCTACTTGGTGAGAAATGATCTGACCTCGTACTCTTACTCTCAATTTCCTAAAAGTTGATCTCTATTCTTTAGTTCCTTTCTTGTCTTCCTATCTTCCATTACCCATAACTGTCCGTCTTGATACTATTCTTTATCAATTAAGGGTGCGAAATTATTTTTCTATTCCATTCTCCTTGTTTACTAGTTCTTTTCTAATATCTTTCTCTTTAGTTCTAGTTCTGTTCTATTAATGAATCAAGGTTCCTTTAACTTTATTACATTTTGATGTGTAGTTTAACTTCTTCAGCAGCTAAAAATGCTACAAAACAACTAAAAAGGTTTTAAAGTAGTGTTGGTTTTTTAAGGGTAACTAATTATGCTACACTACCAGTTTTTATTTTGAAAAAATGTTTTGGTGTTGGTTTGCCAGAGTTTGAAACTAACAGTAATCTTTGAGGAGTGTAGATTAAAAAATATAACACAAATGCTACTGTTAGTTTAACTGATCCACTGTTTTTATGAGATATGTGTGATTGTGAGTGATGGAGAGTGATGATGGGTGATGATTATTAATTGGTAATGAGACATGAGATTTGGGAGAAAGTGCGTCAACCAGGTATTGAGAAAAGTTCCTAGTGATGGGGGTTATGAATTGAGAAAGGGTCTGGGTTTGAAAGTTGAAATAGCCTAATGATAAAGGAACCTTTTAGACCAATTTATTGACCAGGGCTTAAAACAAGGGCCTTAGAAAAGATTTATAAAAGGCATTTTTGATTTTTGTTAAGGTTTGTTCTGATGAGAGGAAAAGAGATCTGGGGTTTATGGGTTCTGGGGTTCTGGGTTTGAGTTTAGTTGATTTCAGGATCAGGGATATAATTGGATCTCCCTCCTTTCAGACTATAAGTGTGATGTCCGCAACATGTATGTACATGATAGGCTCTGTACATATAAAGTCTTTGCTATGGCTCATAACAATGGTATGAGAGTTTCAATAATTTATCTAAGGGTGTATGTAATTGTAAAAATATAATATTTAGTGACTAATAATACTATACACTGCAACTAAAAAAACTTGCTCAACTGCCTGCAGTTGAAATGCAGAATGTCCCAGGAAGCTTCTGTTGTTACTCCAACCATTCTCCAAAATTGATTCAACCAAGCTTTGATGCACAGTCACTGTGCATACTGCACACTCACTGTGCATACTGCACACTCACTGTGCATACTGCACAGTGACTGCGCCAAAAAAGCTACATATGCAAACACGTGGAGCTGGGCTGGAGCTTGCTGAATGTCAACTGCAGAGTTGAGCAAGTTTTTTTTGTAGTGAAAGAGCCTGTCGATTTCTTTACTAATCCTTCATCTTCCTCTTTGCATACTTTTCATGTACTACACTCCTTGTTTCACTACTTCCTTATCCATCCCTAAGTGTCTCCTAGCCCTTAGGTAAGACCTATACTGCCTCTTTCTTATTGCTAGACATCACATCAACTTGTATCCTTAGCATCCATCTGACTGCGCAATCAAACCTTAGCTTTTTTGATTCTTTCAATCAGAAGGTGGAGAACCAGTGATGAGATTGCTTGTGACTAGCCTAAATATATAGTCTATGTACAAGCAGGTAAAAATGTGGTTGAGAAAGAATTGAATAAAAATAAATAAATTTGAATAAAGAACAACTGAGAGGAGCTTTTGAGTTCAGACAAGTTAGACTAGATAAGATTTTTTATTTTAATCAGATTCAGATAAGCTTGATAAGCAAAACAAAATACATCAAAAATACAAAGAGGTGTTAATTCTTTTTAATCAGTTGAAAGAAATCACAAAAGAAGAAACAATTTACTGAGATAAGTTGGTGGATCAGATTCAAGTTCAGGGTTCATGACTACAAGACTGAGATAACAGAAAACACACAACAGACTTCTTTTTTTTTGTTATAATGTCGGTGAGATCAAGAAGTAGGTAGCCAAGGGACAAGAATGATGAATGAAAGAGTTGAAATTGAAACAATATTGAAGGATCTATAGTGAAATCCATGATCTGATAGGTGCAAAGAATGATTTCAAATTTTTGAGAAACAGGCCAAACCCTGTTTCTTGAAATGCTATATTTCCTGACGTAATCAAGTCCAGTCAATGTGAAGAAACTGGGCTTCACGGTACGTGATTCTGGGAGAAAATTGATTCTTGCGAAAAAAAATCAAAACTCGCGCGAGAATCAATTTCTTGGGCTTTGTGGTACGGACCCTAAATTTCATTATGAGCCCCGACCCGCCTAAAGATGCGGTTGGGTTTGGGCACATTTTTTGGGGTCTGACTCCACTTTCAGCCTGACTTGGCGCCAATGCTGAGGAGCTGTTCCAAGTCCGCGATTGTGGGGTAACAAAGGTAGACTACAGGGTAAATCAACACCATGGCATCTCAGAACCTATCCATGCATTCTTTCTGACAGCTGGAGATATTCATCATTGCAATCGGTGGCGGCACCATACACAAGCGTTTGTAAGGCCGCAGTGATCTTGACTAGGGGATGGATGCCTGGTTTTCCCAGTGCATCTGAGAGATGAGTGAAATAAATGTCACCGATATCACGGCTTCCTGTCCATCAAAAAAACCCCCCCCCCCCCAAAAAAAAAAAAAGAATGTGGGTGCACGACTCTTGGTTAGCGTCTGTCTCTCTGGATCAATGTCTGTGTTAGCACTAGGCGAGGTCCGAAGTTCTGTCAATCTGCGTGTCTGCATGTCTCATCAACGAAACACTGAAAATGTACTCTGACCCATATCAGCAAGATCAACTCTGTCGGGTGATTGCTTTCTCTGCAAACAGGCTCTTGAATCCAAGGCTTGGCCCACAACTTGAGCAACCCGAGGTGGTCAGCTTGGTCGGGTTTACGCGCCGCTCTCATATTCACACAGCCCCGGTGCAAGTGCAGGCCAAGCACTCTTTCTAGCTACATTGGCTCAAGCAGGCTCGCGGCTCGGCTCAGGCTCATGGCGATCCCATGGGCTCGGGCTCGCCTCTCGTGCAGATGTGAGTGTGGTCTTAGAATGAGCGTCGCGTAGTCTTTTCTCGGCTAATCCTGAAAGGGAGAGGCTCAGTCAACTCGGACGATCTTTGCTCTTTTGCTCGTGAGATGTTGGCCTCGGGTTTCCTACTCTCTTGCACCTTGTAGTGCGATCTTGTGTGGTGGGCGTCTGCCCCCGTTGAAAACTGTGGCTAGCAAGAAACATTCGTCTACATAAATGACATCCAGTTGCCACAGTCGGTCTCTTTCCTCATCTCACCAATCAATTACAACTTTCAACCCAACCCTTTTTTTGTTTTTTGTTTTTTGTTTTTCTAATCCCCGATCCCAAGTTTAATCACTTAATCACCTTTAATCTCAAGATGATTGCTACCTTGTTTTTCGCTGCCCTTGCTCTTGCCGCCGGTAAGTCTCCCAGGGCATCTGCGATGGCTACTACTACGGCAGTGACATCTCCTCTTCCATGCTTTGTCTCTTAGGTACCATTGCTTCCCCCATTGAGGCCAATGCCAACGCTGGGTGAGCCTCTTTGCTTGTCCTCGGGGTCGCCCTCGTACGCCATTGTGGATCACTGACTGCGTACTTTATTGCAGGGCCGCTCACGCCACCTCGGCAACGGCTGCCGCTCCCCAAGTCGGCGCCCAGACCCAAACCAGCGCCAGCGCCAA